AATTCGCCTTGTTTTACAGTCTGGTTCTATATTCAAGATCTTGAGTTGAAATTGGCCTTGAATTTTCTTTGCCGCATATATGGACTGCCAATGCAGGCGCATTGATCATACAAGTTTCGGAACGCCAAACCTATGCCATCAAATGCACGGCCTCACAGAATTATGCTGCTTCGAAATACTGTTTCCTAGTGGAGAAGAAAGGACAAAATTGACCACATGTAGGTAGGGGAGATTGGCAATAGATTGGCAGCTTGGTAGCAGGACAGCCATTCATGTATCAAGCCGCTAATGCCAGGTTATGGCAATTTCCGCATGTTGCCTGTCAAGCGCCTTTAGGACCTCGAGGTAATAGTTCAAGGATTCATACATTTTCCACAGCTGGCAAGAGCAACCCGAACCACACTACTTCAAATTCATGGCTACCTTATTGCAAGATCTAGCCCCCTTCTGAATGAATGATTTCCGCTTTACTTACCGACCAGAAATGCTCTCAATTTCCGCATAGATGAAGGCGAGCGGCTGAATAGCATGCCCTATATCTCGAGACGTTTACTAATTTGACGTGCTAGAAGCTCTCATGAACCTCCTTAGCGCCAACCATGTCGTTCAACGGCGCAAGGACGTTGTGATAAACCTTGATCAAGTCAAAACGCGTGAAGATCAGAGGTACAGCGCACTAATCTACCCGCGAATTTTCGATGAGGCATTATGGTGTAGCAGCTCCATATAGGAGGCACTATATTGGAGGTGCCCACTGCAGGGGAACATACGCGGAGGTGGAGATGCAGTGGACTTGTAAGTGTTAGTGATTCATGAATAAGGTCTAAAGCACCAGCTAATAGAAATCCACAAGCCTTTCAGCAAAGTGGAATCTCGGCTTTGAGGATTGGCTTTAAAAAAAAAACTGCTCCTAGCCTTTGAAATGTCCTGAAGTATATTTCCATTACAACAAATGATCCTGCCGAGATGGCAGTAATAGAGCATATGAGTTCTGAACTACCGTTATGTTACTGTTTTAAGCACTACTGAAGATATTACTCTATACGGAGCGTGGAGTGCATCGATTTGCTCCTTGAACCACTGTCTCTACCTAGTCGCAAGTGCGGGTGCGTGGAGACGGTTGTCATATTCATACTGGGGCTGTCCATGGAGCAGATCATACCGGCCCCTGCTAATTGGGCGCATGGTCTCAATAGCTGAACCCGCTAATTCGGATGTCTGGCAGGGATGTCGAGTCTCTGGAGCACAGCAAAGGGAAAGGTTTTAAGAATACACGAACTTCAAACTCAGAAGGTGAGCGACCAAAAGAGGGGGACTGAAGATTAAAATTTTGAGTTTCTAGAGAGGCAGTCATACCGCCGCGCTCAGATAATCGAAGCCGATGATCGATATCACAGCCAGCAAAGCCATGACCATAGCGACATCCGGACGACTCCCTGCTCACCGCGCCAAGGGCGCGCTGCGTCCTCGGGCCCCCAAACGCTGGGTCGGCATGGCTGAGCTTATCCGGCGATGGCTGCGGCTGGCGCTGGGAAGCAAGCCGGGTTGCCACGGGTCCACAGGCCGGGGGAGTGGAGCTTTGGGAGGGGTGGATGGATTGTCAGCCCGTGCGCGCGCGCTCTCGCCAGCGTTACAGACTCGGCGCGGGCACCAGAATCATCTGTCAAGATCTGACCCTTCGCTTATCCCTCGACGTCTTTTGATACGTCGTAAGAAGAGGACGTAAGCATAGCCAAGCTAAGCTTTAAATCATACTCTGCGCGGACTACGAAGTACAGAATGCCGTTGCTGCTGGACTCTGGTATAGGAGGAAGATTTCCGGTAGACCCGGCAAAGAAGAAGGGAACTCGACAAGCGACATATGTTTGGATACTTGTACAATCAATACAATCGACACATGACGTGATGCTCGCTGCACCTAAGATCTCCTTGGAAAGAGGGAATGCTCTAAAGGTTTGTCCTAGCTACAGTAAGTACCGGGTATTGCTTGCATGTAGCAAGTGTCTTTTCACGCATCTTGGCCTTTGTTTTCGGAAGTGGCGGTGGTGGGGACTCTCGCTCGTGAGGCTCTACGAGTTTACCGTTCTACCATTTCAGTTTGTTATCTGTCGCTTTCATGTTGGCTGAATCGACGGTGAGGCGCTGGAACAAAGGAGAGAGGAGAGGTAGAGACAGCTCAGCTCAGCTCAATGATCCACCTCGCACCGCTTCTGATACAGAACGCATTCTACGAGTTCAGCGTTTACTATATACGGAACGGATGGGCCTTGCCAATACAGAACGCGCCGGTTATGTTTATACGCAAGAGAGAGAACACAGTCAACTACGAGCGAACGGTATGGCTCAGAAGAAACGGGGGCCGCTAAAAGTCACTGATGCAGAGCAAGACCACCTTGGCGGTATCTTTTCTAGATCCTAGCTTGGACTGTGGGGACCTGGCGGCGTCTGGCTTCGCTACTCGTACAATTTGCCAATAGGTACATACCTATTACTGCGGCTATATGAGTAGTAGGCAGCTAGCAGATGGATACTACTGCTTGAATCCGGAACATTATTGCCTTTGCGTGTTGATCCAGGAAGTTATCCGGTGTCGCATTAACAGCCAGCCAATGCGGCGCTCTAGATCTCAAGAGAATCGGAGCGGAGGGGGCGATGAAGGGACGGCATAAGGCGCAGCCATGTGACGGGAGTGGCAGCCTGCAGAAGTTATGGAGAGCTGTCATTCAAGAAGCGTCGCACAACAGGGGCCTCGGTCGATTGGGGTGCCAGGATGTGAACGAACGAGCTGACTACTACTACTCCGTTTTGTAAGAGTTAATGCAGGAGGCACTCGTACCCCGTTCCTGTGCAACTAGCTGACCCTTTTAGTGGAAGTAGTTCTACTCCTCCAGGTATCCGGCGTTTGTCATACAGAGCACGCTTTGCCGCCTCTCAGCTCAAGCTACTCCATCTTCTTATGGCCTGAAGAAGACAAGGTGTGGCTTCTTGCGATTAGAATTAACCTGAGATTTGCAAAGCTGCTAGAAACTCAAAGAGCATATCTAGCAGGTGAAATTGGGTTTGGGGGATGTTTTTGACTTTTCAGCACTTGACCAAGTACTCTATACATGGTCAAACATGTTCTTCGAGGAGCGGGCAAGCCGAATTCAGAGGACTAGATCTAGCTTCTGACCAATGAAGTGCGATTACTCTGTACTCAGCATGCAATATGGACAATCTCAGCAGCAGGCCACTAGCACCAGACTGACATTTTGGTGAGTTGCTACAAGTATGTCTAGCCCTCAGATGCCATCGCGCGATGCATCCACACTGCTCTCATACGCTACTAATAATGAGTTCAATACGGAGTGTGATGAGTAAGTTACGAGCACGGCAAATTTTATGTTACTATGTTGGCACTCGTACATTTTTCTTTCAAGTTTCAATTGTGGGCTCTCAAGTTCTAGGCCTCTTACTAATGGTGTTTAAAGTTCTCCAGACCGTCATCGGTTTAACACTGTCTGCTTCGATCGAGCAAGTAATGACACTCGCTTCCATCAGCGAGAGAGAGCAGCAGCGATAGAAGAGAAGAAGAAGTGAGAGTGTATCGAATGTATATGGGTAAAGGTCACCCGTCTCTGACACATGATGTAAAACGCAATGTAACTTTGCAACGCGGCTTGCAGATGCATGTGGCAGTACCTAACGAATGGAGGAAGACAATACTACGGGAGCAGATGCCAAGTTAATTAATTGTCTTGGGCGAAAGGCCAGGATCAGGGGACCCTGTTCTCCGTGCTCCAAACCGGGGGAGACGAAAGCGCAGATGCTCTAATACTGTACCCAGTAATCGGAGTGGTCTCGAGTAAGGTAGTACTGACGTTAGGCCGCTTAGACTATCCTACCGCAGAGGCTAACCTGCAAAGACTTGAATTTGCGTACCTCCTCAATGACCAAGGCAAGAGAAGATTGGAGTATCTTTTGCTACCGAGCCAGAGGCCCGCTCAAGGTAGGTATGGAGTGTCTTTGCCCTTTTCGCCGAATCAAAGAGGTGCTAGCCGAAGCAAATCTCATGGATTCGTCCTTGTCTCGCACATACGTGTACAACCTGCGTACTGGGGATTTTAGAGTAGCCATGCCGGCTCTTGCAATAAATCACGATCGACTAAGTAAGCATCAAGGGGGCGTCGGGACGGCTGCTCTGGATGCATGCTCACAAGGCTTGCAGGCACGGAGGCGCATCATGCATACTGGGTAGCATGTATGCAGGCTGGAGCAACTTCCCCTTGGCGCTGGGAGAATGAAAGGGGCGGAGGGGGAAAGCAGAGTGAGCTACTTGGTCTTAGTGGGAGATGGCTGTGAGGGTGGTGGTGGTAGTGTTAGTGGAAAAGAGGAGGAGTCCAGTACAGTACCTGCGGTGCTGGAAGCAGAGGCGTGTGGTTATACCGGCCAAGTACCGCGCATGTAAGTGCTGGGTTCTCCGTTGCGGTGCATGGAGCACTCGAGTCGACGTGCATGCCTGGTTGCGTGAGGGATTCCTAGATTGGATTGCTGGGATTGCGTTCTTGGGCCGCGGCCGCTGGAGACATGTCTTCTGTTTCAAGGGCATTTGTGGGCGTATCCGACGAGAGAAGACGCTCGCGGCATGTCTAAGATTTGATTAGCACGGCCGGAATACATGGCCCAGGCCACTGGGGTGCATTTCTCGGAAGGCTCGCAATGCGAACCGACTAAAGTATGTATGCGTGTCAGAGTGGGAATTTCCCTGAGCGGGCTCCACCGGCACGTCTTGGAGATGCAAAGGTCTAATCGACCGCAAGTATAGCCTACAAGCTGCCATCGCTGGCCGGATGCTGAGTCGCGCCGACTGAGCAAAGTATGGAATACGGGATGACAACGAGCACTAAGGCACTGACTAAGGGCAGAAAGCGAGCGCTTGCGGCTGAGAAGACGACGGTAGCGCAGAGTGCGAGGACGAGGCAGCATCCGGATGGGCAGGACGCAACGTGCTGAGAGCGCACATGTTGGCACGGCGTACATGCAGCGTCTCAGCCGGCGGCACGCAAAAGCTGCGTTGCGGCCATGGCGGACAAAGTATCGCGCTCAGTGCGAAGAGGCAGCGCCCGCCCGAAACATTCCAAGCACCCCCATCACGCTCCAGGGATCCGAGCTCGACGCCGTTTTTGTCTCTCCCACCCCCCGCGGGCAGCAAGCTCATGTACCAAGTATCTGGCGAGTACCAGCCCGCAGCTGCTGGCCGCGCATATGCTGGCATCGTCAAGGAGCGCTCCAAGCATGCATTTACGAGCAGCGGGTGGCTTTGCAGGGACGGTAACGGGACAGCTGCGTGCCAGCCCTGCGGTCAAGCCAAGCTGCGGCCCTGTGCCGACTGCAACGACGGAGCAGGCCGGGAAGGGCTTCTCGCTCAGTCCATGATCTGACCCTTCTGGCCATGGCACGCCCCTGCATCCATCTGGCGCTGGCGGCACTCCCCCGACGGCAGCTGTGCCAGCCAGCGTCTGGAAGGGCCAGGAGAGCGCTGAAGATCAGAGCAGACAAGAGATGATCCAGCTAGCTGCTAGACAGGATGGCTATCGGCTCAGCGCTGGGCTTCCGGATCCCTGGCCTGTTGCGTGCTCCACCACCTCTCCTCTTTTCTCCTGCTCTGGGTCTCCTAGGCTTCTGGGTCTGGGGCAGCCGGCCAGGCTATTGGCGAGAGCGTCCAAGGCTCCGCTTCAGCCCTCCAATCTAGCAGCGACTCGCGTTGCGTCCTGAAAGCGCTAGCCATACAGCTCTCGAACCCGAGTGACGGTAGTGCTACCTCGCACTCCCACATGCCCCGGCGGGCCCACGACCAGGATCGGGACATGACTGGGGGGTCTGTCTTTTCAGGTCCCGTCCAGCAAAGGCGAAGGAGAAACAGCGCGTGGCTCAGCAAGAGAGAAGGTCCCAGTCTTGGGACCCAACAGCCAGCTGGGGGTGGCCATCTAAAAATCCAGCCTTGGGACGCTAAAAAAGAGGCAGATGGGAAAAAACTGCTAAGCTTCTCAGCCGTCGTCTCTGTAGCGCGTATACTGTCTGGTCTGGCTGCTTCGATCCCATCCATATACTTGTGGGCAACCTGCGCCATACATATTCGCCCCAGAAGAACGCCAAAAACGACGCCGTCCGGAGCCACAGGCAAACCTTATTGAGTCTGCTGTATTGTTAACCGCTCTTATCCAACTGCGCTATCTGCTCAACCTTCCGTTCGCAGCTGTATCGTTTGAGAGGCCAAGGGAAACTTTGCAAAGACAAGTGAATAAAACCCGGCCGGCACCCCCATCCCTTTGCGCCTTCCGCATATTCCAGAGATACGCCGTCGTTCTTGTTGCGTCGTTGCCAGGACGTCGAGTGCGAAAACATCAAGAAATCGTGTAAATCTGGGCAAAACCGACTCGACAAAGCTAAGTTCGGATAGGCCGCCGCCATGGACGATACGTCTCATGACAACAACCCGCCACCAAGCTTTTCTTCACGACGACCTGCAGCTGGCGCTCTGCCTACCTTCTCTCTTCCTCCACCGCAGCCCGAAGTCTCCAGCATTGACGATCCATCCTCTCGGCCTCGTACCTTTTACAACCTCGGCAAGAGCCTCGACTTGAACCCTCCTGCGTCTGGAACAAGTGATGGGCTGAGCCCCAGCCTGTCGAGTGTGCACACGAGCAGTTCGCAAAGTTCACAAGCCCCCGCCAGCATGCAGCAGTATACATACAGCGGCCACGTCCACGGAAGCTGGCCGACTCCAAGCAACTCTGCGTATAGTGTCAGTTCAGGCTCGGCACAGCAACCTGCTCCTATGCAGCCTTCCGGTGGATCGTCCTATCCCGTCAATCCCGCCAACGGCACTCAGCCCCCTCTGGGAACAGCTCCCTATGGCGGGCGGTCATCATCGATGTATAACCAGCCCGGCTTGCCATATGGCAACCAGCGAAGTTCGCAGTCTCCGGCCACTGGGGGAGATGGCCTTTCAGCTCAACCATATGACCACCACTCGTTCCAGTCCTCTGGAGGTCAGGACGGCCACTCTGGGAATTTGATGGCTCCCCACGTCACACAGGCGCCGGGGACCTCCAACTCTTCCGCCCACGTTGACTCTTATACGCACAGCAGACCTTCCATTAGCGGGCCGAGCTACTCCTCCTCATCGGGCCCTCAGCATCCATCGAGCTTCCCCTACGCGACCCAACCCGCGCCATCGAGCCATTCACCCACCGGGGCGGCATCACTGCCCAGAGGCTTGGGATCCCTCTCAAGTCAGCAGCCTCTCCCGTCCATGGCACATCCCGGCTCCTACAGGTCCTATCAAACGTATCCACCGCTGTCAATGGGTGGGCCTGTCATGTCCAACATCCACCAGCCTGGCAGCCAGCTCTCGATGATTCCCGGCAGCATGGTTCCCGCGGGATACGGAACTTCTACCATGATGTATTCGCATCCGCCGCCGCAGCCTCAGTCAGAGCGTCCGTTCAAGTGCGACCAGTGTGTGCAATCTTTCAGTCGAAATCATGATCTGAAGCGTCACAAGAGGATCCATCTTGCCGTCAAGCCATTCCCATGCAATTTCTGCAGTAAGAGCTTTTCACGGAAGGATGCTCTCAAGGTACGCACATGTGTCTACCATGTTAACTTGGCTATTAAGAAGTTACTAACATGCATGATAGCGTCACAGATTAGTCAAAGGTTGCGAGAACAAGAGCCACGAGAACCAAGTGGCGGCTGAGAATGGAGGTAGCCGCGGTGGGGAGATTGATGACGACGCCAGGAGAAACTAGGTAGTCGCGCATACAGAATGGGAATCGGTATTGGTGTTAAGATAAGGACTGGGACTGGATTTGGAATTTCGGGCTGGGATTGGGACTGGAACTGGGACTGGATTCTACTACTTCTTGCCATACTGGAAATCACGGTTTATGGGCATAGGATACGGGTTATATGGTATACGGTTCTCTTTGGTGTTTTTGGTTTTTTCTTTTTTGTTTTCCGCCGTTAGAAGGCAGGATGGTATGGAATGGGAGGGAATGGGATCACAGCCTACGGGCGAAAAGGAGGCTTCTCTTTCAGAGCCATTGATAAGGAACTGTTTATTGGCTTTGATGCTTTTATGGATATTCATGTAATAGGTGGCTGCGTTGCGGAGATACTGAAGATTGTAGTAGTAGTAGTATATAGTAGCAGCCAAAAACCTTTAATTCGCAACAACAAGGATCTCGGCACTTGTGTATGCTCCGTAAAGTAGATACGACTGACTTTCCCCAGGCAAAGGGCAGGGAAGGGCGCAGTAGAGCGGCAGAGTAGAGCTGAGAGCGAACACTGGCGCTTCGGAAGCGAAATGAATCAATAATAGTACGAGAGAAAGTATCAACGATTTGACTAACGAAGGCTCTTTGGTGTCATCTTCGGATATTTGGTTTTCTGACCAAGATGAAGTAATTCTCGGGACCAAGACAACATTTTCCTTTCTTCCTATACGCAGGTAAGACACCATAAGCTTGGGATTAAAGATCAATTGACTTCATGTTTTTACTCTGACCGGGCGCTACACTAAAGCAAGCCCACGGCAGAGGCGGTAACGCGGCTGAAAGGAGGAGAGGAGGGGGCTGAAAAAAAAAAGGGAAGGGAGGCGCGAGCAGGGGGAGGGGAGTGAGTGGCGCCTCCAGATTTTTGCCTCTTTTTCTGCATTTGTTCTGTTTTTGGGGGGGTGTTTAGAGAAGGCTGGTATTGTGGGATTGAGGTTTTTGGAAAGAATAGGGGGTGGGATGTGTTTTTTCTTTTCGCTTTTTTGGGGGGGAGGTGTGACATAAGACAGGCAAGGATGGGGATGGGCTGTTCTTTGTGTGTTTTTGTGCAGGTTTTACGGTTGAGATTGGGCTCTGGGAGCTTGAAGATTATCAATTGGTGGATTGTATTGAATACTCTGCACAATGAATTGTCTACTATAAGAAGAGAAGATATCGAAGAGACTACACGCCCACAGAGAGAGACAGAGGGAGAGAAGTGGTTGGTAACAAGATGAGGGGTTTAGTAGTAACTGTTCCTTTCGTGTAAATGGTGCAGTCAGTCCATCTTATGGTAGGTACTCGTATACACTAATAAAGTACACGCTACGACATTCCTCACAAGCAGGACGAAGAGGAGACTTGAGACATGCATTTGCATTGCACAGGCAAGGTAAGCGGTAGGTAGTGCTACCCATGAAAGCACCCTGTAGATTAAAAGGTGAACAGAGAAAAACGTGCTCTACGCTTGTGCTACTTGTACGTATATGGGAGCGAGACGGACTAGGATCTATTTACCGATCTGTATGGTTTCAAGCCATGAGAGAGAAAGAGAGACTAGGATCTATTTACTGATTTTGATTTCGAATTACTTGTATGAGAGACAAAGAGAGAGAGAGTTAGCTCAGGTTTAATCACATTGCATGTGTCATGAGTGCATACGTTCCTTGCTCTTTGCGATATAGTCTGCTGCGGCTGAGAGCGGGATATACAGGTACCCTTGAATGGATCCTAGTGAACATGTCAAAGATTACGGGGGCTGCGTGGACAGTTTGGTACTAGTTTTGGGCGATCCCGTGTGTGCTGATAATGCGGAATACGTACAAGTATCTGGTCATCTATCCAATCACCATTTATTGAATATTGTCCATTGGGTTAGTAGAAGCAATTAGGAGTAGTAGATGCAGTGTACGGTGGCTGGATCCGAATAAGGGCAAGGCACATGGCAAGGTGACTAGCGAGTCTCAATCAGCCTCACGATAGTGCCCTATTTACATGTATCTACCTAGTAGCTGATTTCCCTCCTTTTACTTTACCTGGTAATTGACTCAGTCAACCCTACTACAACTTCCGTATCAAGCAAAAAAACGAAGAATAAAAACCACTTGCAAGGCTACGTCTCGGCTTATGGCCTTGATCTCAACAGGGTATAGCATCAAAGAAGAGGAAGAAGCTGAGTTTTTACATTTACATACATGGCTCCGAGTTGTGCTGCCACACGGCGGACGTTGTGGGAGGCCAAATTAGTCGAGGAGTGCGTCTTGTGTGGGTGTGCCAGCTTGGATATTGGTTTACTGTGCTTCCCAGATTGATAGGAAAGGAGAAAATGTAAAGAAATAGATACAGAAAAAGAAAACGTACATATATATCTATCCTATTATATATATTCTTTGTACATGCTGTGTTTTACACGTCCCTTCTATGATTCTGCTTCCACAGAAGCCGCGCAGACACGTACTCTGCTGTAGACACATCCACCACTTAGACCGCAACAAAGCCATGTGCCATTCAAATCAAATCAAGACTTTTACCGGGACTTGATTTACAAGGATCAAAATACGCCTCATCAATGACATGCTCGTTTTTAGACTCGCCTACTTCTCGCATATCCTTTTCCCAGCCCAGCCCAGCCCAGCCCAGCCCCTCATAGTATACGTCCCTCGCGCAAATACGTAACACCACATGAGATCCAGATGCACACGCCCCCATTCCCAGCTTCTACAAAAGAACGAGTACTGCTACTATTAGTACTACTACTGCTGCTGCTACTATTATCTACACTAGTATACAGTAAAATGAGCACAGCCGCTTCGCTAAAATCGCCTTCTTGTCTTCCCCCCTTTTTTTCGTGTTGCCTTGACGCCGCCACCTCCTTTGCGGCTGGGATCTATCAGCCCCTCGCTACAAGGCCAAAGAGTCATAACGTAAAGCATATTTAAAATTAGAAATAACAAGCATTTGTCTAAAACTCAATTGAATGTCAAAGTGATGTATATTAGATGTTTAGGGGGGTCAAATGGAAACGAACAGTACTACAGGCATCCCGCAGATCGGCAAACGTCGACGGGATACAGGTAGGCTACAACAAAAGCAGAAGCGGCAAAGTTCAAGGTTCGGGTCGATACGCGCGCCGCGGATGGCTGCATAAATGGCTGCATAATTTTTGTGGCGACTGTGGCTATAGACGTGTGTGACCTACTGACTTGAGGCTTTTTTTGTCAATGCGTAGCTGGTTAGGTTGTACGGCTTTGCCCTATTCAGACCAGAAGAACAAAGTCACAAAGATACATGTAGTAGGATTGACAATGGTGGCCTTTGTTTTCTTTCTTCGATGGGTGATGGTGTATAGACTACATGTAGATAGTAAAGTCATCTGACGGCAAGCTGTGACACAGATATTGGCCCGTCTTGGACGCTCACATGTAGAGATTCGATGGTTATGGACGAAGATGCTTAGACTCCAAGCATATCCAGTGCATCTTTATCAAAGATCAATTATTACACGACGCCAGGGGCACGGATATTGAACATTGGATAGCCAACTCCATTGCATTTGTTAGACGAGAGGGAGGTTCAAAAAGATACGTATACCGGAAGTAAGTACTACGAATTTCCAAAAAGCGATACTACGTCAGACTTTTGCCTTCTACGTCGTCGTAGGCATTGCTTGCTCAGGACTCTCATGAGTTTTATACTTCTAGCCCAATTTTCAAATGTTCGGCAAAACTAACTTATACGAATCGGATACAGGCATCAAAGACGACTGAGAGACCATGATATTCTTTGATGAGTTAAATTGTGGTATATACGAGATGTGGGATATTTCATCGTAGTGCAAGTTTCTCTCTAACCTACTACGAGGTATATCCAAAGTCCATGATCAGTAGATTGACGAAAACGTCAGAATGAACTATAATCCTCCACTACAAGATATGCTTCTATAAACGGCGCTCATCAATTGCCAAAAATAATATCTATTTCGTAATTATGCAAAAACTCAATTATCACGCTTCTCTGCGCTTAAATGTCATGTTCACCTCGCCAAAAGTCATGATAAATGCGTCGACTCCCTTCTCAAAGGTGGCGCCATCCTCTCCGGGAGCAAAGTCAAAGTCAAACGTCCAAACGAGCCTCGCAATCACCTGGCGAATGTCCATCAAGGCCATGCGCTTTGCTATGCAGCCATAAGGGCCTAATAAATAAGACAGATTAGCGATGAAACGGGCCGGTTTTTTGATCGCGGGTGCGTTACATACCAGTTGAGAATGGAGCAAACGCATCTTTGACTTTAATCATGTCTGGGAATTGATACCAGCGCTCGGGAATGAATGAGTTGGCATCTGTGTATACATCTTCGTCTATTGCAAACGAACGTTTGTCATTAGTAAATCGCTATAAAACACAAAGTTGGTCTAAAGCTTGCTCTCTTTCCCAAAAGACTTACTTCTACCGATCGCATACTGTGGGGATATGACAGACATGCTCCCCGGGATGTAAACGTCATCAATCATAATGCCCTCACTTGGTGTTTGACGATATACCGTTGTTGGCACAGGGGGGTAGAGCCGGAGTGACTCATTAATCACCGCATTTAGATGTTCGAGACGCGCCATCTCATCTTGAGTCGCTATAATTTGTGAGTCGCGGACAAATGGCGCCAGTTCCTGTCGTAGCTTCGTAATATGCTGTGGATGCTTTGCAAGCAGGCGTGTGATGGAGGTCAAGCTCGCGGCCGTTGTATGACTAGCATTCCGTCAGTAAGGTTCTTTGTATTGAAACCAGCCCAAATTCGCGTCATCTCAACTCACCTCCCTGCAGTGATTACAAGCTGCGAGTCTCCAGTCAGTAAATCTGCCTCTTCAGTGGTGGGCTCCCTTCCTTCCAGTGGCTTCAGGAGTGCAGACATGATGTCGGGAACATCCGGTTCGTGCTTCATCCGAGCTTGGTATCTATCTCTGCAAAAGTCGACAAACTCGAACCAATCCTTTGACAATGCGGGGATGCTCATTCCAAGCACTAGGAGCCATACCGGAAGATGGAGCCCAAGAGGCACAAATCCAGCTTCCAGCATTTCGATGGCCCGATGGTTGTGAGAAGTCTCGAGCATGTCGAACGGCTTGCCAAAAGCGAGATCGCCCATGACATCGAAGCTATAAAAGTGAAACCACTTGGCCATATTCATCGGCTGGCCAACAGAAGCAGCAATCTTGTCAAACAGCATATCACGATATTTTCGCATCCGTTGCTCATACCCCTTCAATGCCTGATCGCCAAACGCTTGGCTCCACACACGGCGGCGGCGGTCATGTTGAGCCTTGTCACGAAAGATGTGGAGCGATGTCATGGGCAGCGTCATATCGTAGTGAGGATCTTTCCTGCATTTCGAGTTGAGCCCGTGAAAGGCATTGACGGCTTTTGGGTCGCGCACCGACAGCTCGGATGGGCCAATGCGGACATATGGGCCGTATTTATCGTGAAGCGCAGCAACTTGTTTCCATCCATCGAGACCCCGGAAGCGATATATCAGCCAAAGAGTTGAAATGCGGGCGAATACAGGTCCTGGGAACTTGTTGAGTGGGTGGAAGAAGAGCCGGTATGTGACGAGGCTGGAGTAGAGGCCGAGAAAGAAGCATCCATGGCCTTTTGCTGACAGAATAATGGCTGATAGCCAGTCTGTACCGGGCGTGCTATTGAATATAGGCGACCAGTTGAGCATGAACACCGCTGAAAAAGAGGCTGTCGCGGCCAAAACATAGCGGAGGGCATGCCGATGATGTTCGCCTCGATTCAGGTACAACAAGTGAGTCGCAACGCCACCCAGGGCCGCCACAACGTTCATATAAGGCGCCGGCATTGCGCAAACCCTTGTATAGCTTGGCAATGAATGAGGAACGAAGCCCAGATCTTTGGCGTCTGCTCCAAGATTTTAAGTCTGGCTAGTAGTCAGTGGTGTTCTATTGGTTGCACGTGCTCCTGTCTCGCCCTGCAGAAGGATTGAACACACGTCACGCCGCTATTTGCTTCACACCAGCAGAGGCCGGATTCGACGTCGATGAAGCAAATGCCGTGCCCCTTGACATTGTTTGTTTCTTCATTGTGTCCAATAGTGTATCAAGCAGAGTGTCTCAAGTGGTTGTTGAACCTTATTCGTATGGGTGATAGAGCAGACTCCCGGTGGGGTGGCACCGTATTACACGCATTCTCCGGTCGGAGATACCAGAGGGTCGGGCTTATCAAGTGTGTGTAGGGACTATCGTTTCGAAGACCATTGCGAGATGGGTAGCAATTCTCGACGGTTTGATGGATCAAGTGTAGCACAACCTACAATTGGTACATCGAGGACGCTAAACTGAGAACTACATGAATGCGCCCTGAACCGCTGCACATCTCCACATGCGGCAACTGCACTGCCTGCCGATAACCGCATCCTTCGAAAATAGAGGGACAAGGACGAAATGCAGCCGTCAAAATGCGGCTCTGCGGCACATACTGCAGGTGTAACAACAACGGCTATACATTGATGTTGCTCCAATGTGATCGTCAAGCTCGCCTGCTCACGTGACTGTCGCCAGGCTGCAAACAAGAGTTGCATTCATGGCGCAAATGCATGGCATGCTGCGCAGAATTAGGCAGCAACTTTCATTTTTCTCAGAATTTACTATCGAGTTAGATCAGCCTTATGCATTCTTATCAGGTTATTTCTCCGAGTGTATTTGTCTAACCTAAAAATGTGGCTGTCGGAAAGGATCCTCTCCCTATTGGGCCACGACGCTAGAGTCGCTCGTCTTTTGCCAAGCAGCGAGAGCATCGTGGTGTTGAGCTTTAGAGCACTTCAGCTGCGAAGAATCGCTGAGCTACAAGATGATTTGCTTCGGATCTCTGCAGTAATGGGAGATAAAAATGATACAACTGAAGAAGATAGAAGAACCATCGATGAAGCTTTATCAGCCTATGGTAATTAAAATGCTCTGTTTTCCTCACCTGCATCGGCTTACCCATCTATATTGCTATCCAGCCCAAGCCATACGAAACTATGAGACTCTTTCCGATAATGCAGCCCCTACCGTTCCACACAGCGCTACTTTTATCGGCTCACTGCAGGCACTGAATGTGACCTCATCTTCCAATAGCCACTTTGCATCAATACTCCCTCCCTCGTTTGAACGTGAGAGAGAATTCCACCATTACCGGGAGGGTATATTCCGTGCCCTGGGCAGCATGGCGGATATGAATGTGAGGAACGGCGTCATAGACGAGGCAATAGGGCCCGTTGGCTTCCGCGAAATCGACCAAGCAGGGCGCATCCATCGAGCGAAGAGGAAAGCCTTTACGACACGCTTGGTCTTTGCGCTACTTGGGGGGATCTCGCTGATTGGCCCCATCCTCATCATGACGCTTCATGCGTCGACCACCACAAGCCTCATCACGGTATCGGTTGCGACCTTCATCTTTGCTCTGGTCATGGCCCTGTTTGCGACAGACGTGGGTGGCAAGGACGTATTGGCTGCCACGGCTGCCTATGCGGCGGTGCTTGTGGTGTTTATCGGGACGAGCACGTCTTCCAATGCTAGCTGAGCAAGGAGTCTGTTTATAGACTACGGGATGGTATCAAGAAAGTGGAGGAGAAGATGAAGTAATGATCTATGCCCCTAGACAAATCTCGATACAGCCCCTTGGCATCGTATTCCAGGCTAGTAACCAATCGGCTCATGTAAAGTATTGATACAAGGAGCTGAGAGTAAATTGGCCAGCCTCATCGCCGAGGCTCAAACAAGCGCATATGGTGCAGCACCAACACGCGTATTCCGAAAACAGAACACGCCCCAGCGCAAGTACTGCAGGTACCTCCCCCCTCAGCCGCAAGTACCGCTACCTCAACTGCAACCTTGAGCTAGAGCTTGGACCCCATACCAATCCCCACCCAGCCAAAACATTGGTAGCTCTACCAAAATTGGATCTGCGTCCATTTGCGCACGATAAACCCAAGAGGGAGAGAAGCGAAAAATCGCCAGGGAAACCATGAGTTGCGCCAAGGTCAAGAACCGCTACCGGTCGATCGGTTCCGTTGAGCGAGTTTTTAGTCATGAAACAGACCATTGAGAAGGCCTGTTTCCACGAGGGCGAATACTGGGTCAAGTGGAATACTGGGGTTCATTATCAAACATGCTCGATAGGGCAGTTCATGAATAAATACTTGAAGAGAGCTCATGCTTTTACATCAATTTCATCCATCTACAAATATTCAAGACAAATATTATACAAGGTATCTCGAGCTGCGGCTTAAAGAAATTCACCCAGCTATATTTCTTCCGCTGTCTTGGTCCTGGCCCTTGGCTTCTCCCCCATCTCCACCGGTTTTTCTCAGAAAATCGTGCTTTAAATAGTCCTTAGCACGAGCACCAACAAGCGGGTCTCCAGCTAGCGGGCGTTCACTCATTCTTCGATACATAAAGGCGGAGTGGCAGCTTTGCTTTTCGTTGATATCCCAAAGTTTCCGTCACACTCTCTTCGAGGTCTCACAAAATCAGTCGTTGAGCAAACCGGTTTGCTTATATAACACGTGTACGGAGTACACAAACAGAACGGGCGTTTCCCTTTTCTAGACTTTGCTTGGAAAGAACTTTGTCCTCTTTTTTCGCTTTATACCCGCCTTCTCCTCTTTCTAGAAGGTCGCAATCCCACCACAAGAAGCAACACATTTTTCCAACAAGCAAAACAAGACATCATGAATGACATGAGCGGCATGGACGGCTCATCGAGCTCCAACTCCAGCAGCTCCTCCATGGGCATGGGCATGGCCATGACCTTTCAAACCGATATTCGAACCGCCCTCTTCTCCACCGCCTGGACGCCCCAGACCGCGGGCACCTACGCGGGCACCTGCATCTTCCTCATCGCCCTGACAGTCATTCTGCGCCTGATCGTGGCCTACAAGACCTACCAGGAACGCGTCTGGGCTGATCGAAACGCCCAGCGACGCTTCATCGTCGTCAACGGCAAGGAGCCCATGTCGGAGCGCCTGTCAAGAGATCCAGACGCGAAGCAGATGACCATGATGCTCTCGGAGAACGGCGTCGAGGAGAAGGTCCTGGTGGTGGAGAAGAAGCACCATGCGGTTGCTCCTTGGCGATTCAGCGTTGATCCGCCCAGAGCGGCTTTGGATACAGTTATTGTTGGCATTGGATATCTCCTGTGAGTTTTCTCTTTTTACATACATACACATTACACTGAGACTGACTTTTGTTTTAGCATGTTAGCTGTCATGACCTTCAATGTCGGTTACTTCATGTCCGTCCTAGGCGGCACATTCCTGGGGAGTCTCCTTCTCGGCCGTTTCGGCGGTATCCCTGGCCATTAAGGGTCGCAAAGTCAAAATCACACATCACATCGCATTATGAAGACTTTGTACGATGGCTTTTACTCTTAATTTCTGTACGACGATCACGACATCAGCATTACAATGGCGGTTATGGCTTCTTTTTTTTTTTTTTCTTAAAACATCTGTGGATATTACGGATGGGCGTTACGGTGTTTCCTGGCTATTGGGCCAAGGAGGATTACATTCAGGGGACGGGGAGAACAGGAGGATGGGATACCAAAAATATCGAGCTGCATGAGAAGGGCAGTGGATATGGATTAATTCATCAATGAGGCCTATACAAAAGAAAACAGAAGATATTGAAATATTTCTTAATATCCGCTGACAATGGCTTCATTTCACAAACATTTTTTCAGCACATTCCAACTGCGGTCGCTTTTCTATCAAAATGGTGCATGTCACTTAAAAGTACCCCGAGTATCCGGTACTTCCGCCCCGTACCTCGCGCGCAAGCTGATTAAAAACCTTCTCAAACTTGCTCAACAATCGTTTGTTGCCGAAAGCGGTAAAGCCCTTCTTTTCTTTTTCAAATGGAGAAGAGTCACGTGATGGTTCACCGGAATGCTGGGTCTCTGATGCTTATGTCAGTATGTCACACCGGTAGATAAAACGAGACTTTAAAGTCGTTTATGTTCAAATCATTTAAAGTGATGGGCTGAGTTGGCAAGATGGGGTGCTTCTTTCTTAACACGAGTATGTAATGTCCGCAAGAATTCATGTTAGTAGAAAGAGATTACCTCTGAACATGTTCTAGGACTATTGCAGTTCATAATCTGTATCTTTGTAGCATACAGTATCCTCGACACAACTCGCCAACGAGAGCAACTCAACAACCAGCAACAGTTGTTCAAAAACCGCTCGATTAACATTCAAGCAAATTACTTTCAAGCAGAATAAGCATCTGGAAACTCACTGCATTAACTATCCACGCCTCAGTTCTCTTCCTTACAGCTTTGTTAGCCGTGTACTCCGTATGAAAATTAACTAAGCACCAAATCTCAAAACCAACACAACTCACCTCAGAGACTTCGAACCCCACCCCTCAGTCTCGCACAAAGACTTACATCCAACACCAAGATCTAACCAACAACACAATCTTTCCTCCAAGAAGAAGAAGAAGAAAACGTCTGAGAATCATGACCTCCCGCCCAAGTTTCCATAATCGCCCCATCACCAGAATCGTCCAAAACGCAACAAAAAACATAAAGTTTCATTATGAACAAAAAACAGAAAAAAAAATAAAGGAAATAAATATCCCAATACGCACTCCTTTTCCCCAACAGAAGTAAAGCAACCTTTTTCCTCTTGCCTATTCCCTATTCTGTCCTCTCTTCAAAACCTCCCAATCACATTCCTCCCCTCAACCAAAAAAGGCAACCCATCTTCCCCAATCCAGGATAGATAACACCAAGTATGGTAAAGGACCAGAAAAAAAAAATCTAATCACCAAAAAAGGGAAAAACAGAGCGAGCATGAATAATGGCACGCCGCTCGGCTGGGCCCGCCTCTCCGCTTCAGTTAAGGGGGTCAGAAAATTGCCTATTCAAGCAGTTCTGTAGGGCTGATCTATGCCAAAACGTGTGTAGTAGGTAAGGGAGACGGTTTTTTTCGCCTTTTCTTCTAACCTCAAAGAGGCCATTTGGGAGATCGCGAATCTTGCTTCTCCGTGCCGCGCGCACTGACTCGATCTAGTGGGCTGGTGCCTGGGAATGGAGAAAAGGGACAATTCGCATTTACGTCAAAGCATGCTTCATTAGCATCGCGAGAGAATAGAAAGGAAAAAAACCTCTGTTGTTCGGCAAGCTAGGTTCATCAGATTCATTTGATGTCCTCATCGTTTTTTCCTGCCATCAACAAATCATGCCCTCATGTGTCCATTATCATCCACCCAGCATCATTCTGCCCTTCCTCCCATATCCGCTTCCAACCTCCCAAAGTCCAAACCTGCCCAGACCTGCCACCCAATGATACCAACCTAATTCATGAGATCGCTGTGCCTCAGCATGAGAGATTCGCATCTCGCTCAAACCATGCCCGAAAGCTGGAACCCTCCACCTCAGTAGCTAGATCTGAGAGAACTCTTTTTCGCATACAAGAGTTCAAAATACTTGCACAAAAGGCCGCCGCCAACGTCCATTCTTGTCGTAATCGATACAGTGCTAAGCCCTCCTTCAGCACACGCCATAGACGCTTCGAAATGAGAGGTGCCACAGAAACAAAAACGCCTCTAAACCTTTCCGGGATTGAGAATAAAAGAAGGGTAGATCTTGGCAGACTCAGCGCAGCAAAAAGACTGCGCATCTCCCTCGTGTCCTGAGTTGGATCCTCTTTCCCGGCGGAAATAAAAAGGCATCAACGTCCGCGTAGCTCCAAAATTTGAAACATCGAAAAGAATTCGAAGAGAGAAAAAAAAGTAAATAATGCGGGAAAACGCAACATTGAGTGTAAAAAAAAAAAAAGAACAGATATGGAAAGCATATCAACACGTCATCAACGCCGAACTAGAACATTTGCATAATGTTGTAGCAACATCCTGGAGACGACTCAAGGCCCGAGAAGATCCCCCAAAGTTGTTCAAGGCTGGGCATAAGCGATTGCAAGCTTTAGCTTATTCCCAATGGTCACGATCCTACTATGACTGATGATGAGAGCTGGGAGGCATTCCTGGCTGCGGAGGCATGCCAGACCCATAAGCCTGGTTACGCTGCACATAGCTCTGATACGCGAGAGCCTGCTGAGGATCCATGGGCATATTGGGCGGCATGTAGCCTCCAGGACCCATATGAGGGTTCTGGGGCATGCCGGGGCGGCTCTGCGGTGGCAAATGGCTGGGGGGCTCTTCAGGAGAGTCGACTTCGTTACCACCGTCCACTCCATTTTCACTGCCCGTTGCGGGCTCAGGTGCGTTAAGGCATGCCTATTGAACAAAAGGATGTCAGTAAGACAGGCTCAAAAAGAAGGTGGGTGAATGCGTGAAAAGGATCATTTGGCAGCTGAATTGTCGCACAATATCCAGCTTCTCTAGTGGAGGAAAGTCGGGGGGACAAAGGGAAAGACATTTCGGCGTGGCTCGCAGCAACAGCCAGTCTGACTAGAATTGCATACCTGGATCAAATTTTTGCCCTCGGCCTTGGTAACGAGCGGCTGGAGCTTGGGAGTGGTGAAGGTATAAACCAGGCCCGTCTCGGAGACGACC